AAATATATATGAAGACCTTTTACTATACTCGGTGGGTTAGCTTTTTCCAATTAATGAGATTTTAAGGAGGAAATTCAAGACAATTGTATTTCTTTTTTTTAATATTTATTTTTTAGTTGTAGGTGGACACAACATCTTTATTTTATTTTTATGTGGTGCTGGGGATGGAACCCAGTGCCTCAAGCATGGTAGGCCAGAGCTCTACCTCTGAGCCACAACCCCCCCCCCAACCAGGCAATTGTATTTCTTTTGGAAGAACTTTCTTTAGTTAGTTAAGCAAACTTCAGTGAGAACCCCTCCCTGTGCTTGAGGGTGGATAGAAACAAGAAAAGGTTAGAGAGACCTTGAGTCTAAGGCTGCTTCATAGGCCTCCAGTTTCCTATAATTCAAAGTCGTCAGCATGTCACAGCATCATGCTTTGGGGTATTGTTTTATGAGCCTTAACACTAGGAAGCAAGTTTGATGGATTGTTTAAAAAAGTGATTGAAGTTCATTAGATGCTTTACTGTTTGTGAAGCTGGTCCTCATTTCATACCCACCTGGTTATGATCTTTCTTTCCTTCAAGATGTCAGGTTCATAGTTGGCCTTATATATCATTAATGTACATATTTACTCTCTTATTTGCTTCTTGAAGGCTCTGTCTTTAATTCCTTCTTCTCATAAACACTGTTTTTTTAATATTTATTTTTTAGTTTTGGATGGACACAATATTTTTGTTTTATGTGGTGCTGAGGATTGAATCCAGTGCCTCATGCATGCTAGGTGAGCGCTCTACCTCTGAGCCACAACCTCAGCCTCCACTAATATACACTTTTATGTTCCATCTCTGACCAAGACAGGTGCCTGGGAATCTGAAATTTAAGCGTAGCTGGTTATCCTAATGATTGGTCATGTCAGGCTTAGCCATGTAACAGTGAATCAGCTGGCGGGGAGCTGTTTTAATCACCTTGCTATCAAATGTTAGCAAATCAATTACTAACTTCAGATTTTACATTGACAGCATAAAATAGTCCTGACTCCTCTTTCTTGGAAATGACCTCAGAATAACAAGGAAGATAAGAAGTACAAACTCTGTCCTCAATGATATCAGGTGACAGCAGAAAGTGTGAATCAAAGAGTATAAGCAAGGGCTACCGTGCCCCTCTGCAATGTGAAAGGTTCTACTATTTCCACAACCTTGCCAACACCTTTTATTTATTTATTTTTTTAAATATAGCCATTCTGTGGGTGTGAAGCTGTATCTCATTGGTTTTAACTTACATTTCCCTATTAAGTAATTATGTCAGGCAACTTTTCATATATTTGTTGGCCATTTTTATGTCTTTG